CCTGTAGGACACATCCCCCTGAACCATCTCTCCAGCCCCAGCCTCTGGACCTCCCCACCTCAGAGCCCTGGGTCTCACTGGTTCCTCCCCTCCTATGAGAGGAATTGCTATTTTCACCTCAATTTTACCCATGAGGGAGCTGAGTTACAGAGGAGGGGAGGTGGCTGGGCTGAGATGTGGGTCTGGCTCCCAAGCCCACAATATTACACCCACGATGTTCTCCCATCCAAATTGTCTCCAGTCCAGGCAAGTGACTCTGTCGCTGTTCCCCTCCCACATGCTCCCATCTATTCCCCATTCAGCACACCCTCCCACTCAGATCCTCTAGCCTTTAAGCCAGGGCAAGACTTAGACACCCGGCCCAGGTGCTATGGTCCCCTTATTCCCCTCCTCTGGCAATAAATTAGACCATAAAGTTTTCCCCGGGTGTGCCAGGCAGATGAGGTTCTAGCCTCTATAGTTCCACTATAGGTGGATTGTACCTACAGGGCCACTGGGGGCACTGGAAGGCCAGAGAGGCCAAGCAGCAGGTAGGTTGGGATCCACAGAGTCCATCAGTACCTGGGTGGAGAAGATGAGCTGGATCCAAGCCCAAGCTCCTAATTCCTTCCGGTCTCACCAGCATTGGTACTTCAGTACCCCCAGGATGAAGCCAAAACTTAAGCTCCATTATGTCCAGCATAGTTTCTGCCTGCCCCTCAAGCTCACCTTATTTATCTGACTCATGTGGGGCTTAACAAAAATTAATCCATCTAAGTCTTAAAGATGTCCTACAGGTACTCACATTGCCCCCGTTACAGATGAGGAAACCCAGGCACAGAGAAATGACAGAGCTGCTAACCGCTCAGGATTGGGCCCAGGCCATGTGGCTCTGGAGTCTGCACAAATGACTCTGTGGCATGGTCTGTTTCACCTTCTTGTGTCAGTCTGTCCCCAAATGTACCTACCTTCTCACCCATCAGCTGCCACATCCATGTGTTTGTGATCTATGTCCTCTGTGCCTAGAAGACTTGTCCCTCTTTATCATGGCAAGTTATGCTTATTCTTACACATTCAATTCAAGTGTCACCTTCCCTTTGCAGCTGCCTTGTCATACCCCAGCCAAAATGGGCGGCCCACGTTCACAGAGCACTTGGCACACACATCCACACAGACCACTTTAGACTGGGGGCTCCTGGGTGTCCAAGATGGATTCTTACCTGACTGTCCCAGCCCCAAGTGCCCAACGATCCTGCTCAGGAAATAGTGGCAAGAGAAATCAGGTGCCACCCCTTGCCTTTTGATAGCTCATACATAGGCAGGAAATCTGACCCACTAGCAGCCCAGACCCAAGGGGATCAGAGTTCCAACATGGGGGCAAGAGTCTTTGATGTGAGCAGGCTCCAGAGAAAGAAGCACTGCTGCTCACTGGGAGAACTCAGCAGGCTTCTCAGAGTCAGCCTGGGCACTAAGCCTTTGGGGGATGGAGGAAAGCCCCTCTGGTGGTGTGGGGGTGTGGGGTGCATGCAGGTGAGGGGGGATGGGAAGGAGGAGAGAGAGAGTGTTAGAGAGGAGCTCAGCTCAGCTGAGCCAAACCCTACAAGTGGCCATGTCCACCAGCTGCACCTTGGTGTCCCCTGCCGCAGCTTAGCACTGTGCCTACCCAGACTGTGTGCACCATAAGGATAGTTTGGAAGCAGATCTCATGGAGTAGCCTTACACAATTCACTGGCCTGCTTAAGAAAAAGAATGCGTAATTAGTAATAGCTGTGATGAGAATAGGAAGGAGCTGCACCTTGCTCAGGGCCTAAGTGTGGGCTGCAGAGTTCCTATAAAACCTTCTGGGGAGCAGTGTGAAGTGGTATGGGCAGAAAAGGCCAGCGTTTCCCATGAGCCTCCAGGCATGTGTTCCAAGCAGCCTGGAGCCCTCAGTTACCCTCCCTGATGAGCCACCCCGCTCATGCCACTGTCATGCTGGGGACCTCCCTGCTACAAAAAGGCCAGATAGCTCAGTTCAGAAGGCTCCCTTTCCTTAGGAGGGGCATCCAGAGGGCAAATGTGGGTGTCTGAGACCCGTTTGCTGGTCACTCCTTGGTGATCTCGGGCAGGCCTCAAGTCATGGAGGGTCTGTTCTGAAAAGCTTCTTTTCATTTTGACATTCTATTCCTCTGACCCTGCCAAAGCAGCTCTCCCAGCAGGGACAGCCAGACAGCTTTTCTCTGAGAACCTTATTCATTCATCACCCAGTGCTGAGATCTCAAGAGGGCAGCCAAGCACTGCGCGCGGGGGGGGGGGGGGGGGGAGCCCAGTGCCACGGAGGTGCTCCCAACCTAGTTGGGGAAACCAGACATGGACATCCATAATCCTAGAACCTTCAAGCCAAGGGAGCCAGACCAAGGCAGTGGCCAGAAGGAGTTCAGGAAGGCTTCTCAGAGATGGCTGTTGGCCTGAGATGGAAAAGCCAACAACTACTGTACTTGCCAAGCACCTACTATGTGCCAAGCTCTGTGCTAGGCTGTGACAACATACAGCGATGAGGGCAGATGAGCATTTGGCCTCCAGCTTCTTCCCTTCAGCCCAGTAAGGAAGCAGGAATTATCTCAAGAGAGAAGGGGAGCAACAGCAGACCACCTGGGGGAGCTGCACACAGACAGAAGGTATTCTGCTTGCTGACGAAGCAGAGGGAAATTGGATGCAGAGCAGTTGGAGGAAGAGGTGATAAAACTGGAGTGGCTGGCAGACAGGGGCTGGAATGCCAGGCCAGGATTTAGGGCTTGACCATGCTTGGCAACTGGGAGCTAGAGAAGGTTCTAAGAAAAAAGGAAAAAGAACAGGTTTCTTAGCACCATTACAAAACTCGCCACATTGGTCCAGCTTTCTAAGGGGAACCTTACGGCCCTCAGGGCCTGCCTGACTGAGCGGGTATCTCCCACTTACCACCATCCTCTTCCTGGTTCTTTGTATCAAGCCCTCAGCATACCTGGTAACTCGAGAGGGGACTAGGCCAGGCCTCCAAAGCACCTGGGCCTCTTCCTCAGGGAGGACCCACAGCATGTATGTCCTGTGGATTTTAAGTGTTTTCCAGCTACCTGCTTTCCTGCACAACTCCTTCTTTCCCCATCCAATACCAAAAACTCCTCAGTGCTCCCCAAACAACCAGTGATTCCAAATTCAGGGCTCTCTAATCACTGTTCAGCCCAAGACCAGGAAGACTAGTTTTGGCCTTTCAGGAAGCTCTGAACTCCTCCTGCCCGGCTCCCTCTGGCCCTCCAGACTCTGTTCTTCCCTTGGAGCCCCAACTGCCCTTTATTTTTCTGGGTTTTTCAACAAAGCACAGTTCTCCCTCACCTTCAGGGTTTTATCCAGAACACCATCCTCTCTGCTAGCCTCACTAACCACTTTTGCTAAGCAGAATAGGCCAGGGGCCTCCAGAAGTGTTCTTTCAGACTCTGCCTTTGCACATGCTGTTTCCTCTGCCAGGAATGTCCCTACCTCTATCCTCTGAAGCCCACTGCCCTCCCAGTCCCTCAAGTGTTTTCCTGCCAAGGCCTAGCATCTTTTTTGAGATGGGAAGCAGAGGCTCAGCGAGGTACAGTAACCTTTCAGAGCCACACTGCTTAGCCCTGGGATGAGACAGCGAAGGGTTGGTTGCATCTGTGCGAGCTGTGAAGCCTGGGAAACATCACATGGCCTCTCAGTGCTTGGATCCTCGGCTGTGAAGTGGGGCTTCTGCCGGCTAGGATTGCTGTGGTGCTCACAAAGAAGCTATATGGTGGGATCATTTGCTCCCCAGGCCAATTAATGCCTTTCACATCCCCCACCCCGCGCGCACATTCAAAATTTATTCATATATCCAACCTCTCCAATACCTGCTGTGTGCCGGCTCCTGCGTGGGGGATTCAGGGACGTGTTAGGGGCAGTTCCTGCACCCTATGCGCAGGCTGGGAACTGGTGCGAGGAGACGGCGGATTGGAGGTGTTCTGTCCTTCTGCTCTTGACTTCATCTTTTCAAAACTGATGATGCTCCTCCCTGGTGATGAACGACGGGGAAGGGGAAGTGTGGGAAAGAGATCCGCTCTTTTACTTTCAAAAACGTATTTTTCTCCGCTTCCTAAAATTGGAACATCTCACAGAACTCAACTTTCACCTCGGCGCAGTGAGCCTCGAAGCCAGGGAGGAGCAAGCAGAGAGCAGTGTGGCTGCGCCGACCAGGCTCCACAGTCCCTGGGACGCCCTGGCCCGCTTACCCCACCGGCCCTCCACCCTGCCTCTCCCCTGCTACTTTTCTCATCCGACTTCTGTTCTTTGGCCAGGACGCCCCCACCTCCTCAGCCCC